AGTTGTCACAGCCTCTGACAGCGGTGGAATCAAAATATTGGTGCTGTGCTTCACTAAAAATTAAATAATTAAGAGTGGGGAGAATTATTTCCATATTTGAGATACATTCCTGAGAGTATAAAAAACAGTGTGGCTGATAAGTGGAAGAGATGTAGGGTATGAATGTATGGCATACAGACAACTTTGCGTTGGAAAAATAATTAAGATAACTTAATTGTTAGCATATCTTTAGCTAATAAAAAGTGAAGTCTCCATCATAACTATGTTGACCAGTTCACTAGAAAGGCTGAAACATAGACAGACCAAACCCTAAAATTATTGTTTTCCTCTTGAAGTAGCGTAGTTATTCACTGACAATCCTTTCTTTAATTTCAGTTATAAACAAGCTCAGCCTCTTGCCTTTGAAGGCATAACTGCTCACTGACAGAAGCCCATTCAGAGTCTCCCTCTCTCAGAGAGAGATCATTTTCCTAACAGTATGTCTTTCTATTCCTTGTTGCTCTGTAAAAAGGGTTTCTGGAATTATCTCATTAAACCATCTTTCTTTACATCTTTCTTCCCTTTTTCAGTTTGCTGAAACAGCAACTCCAGTGGATTTGGAAGGATCTATAAGGTTGAGATACTCCTCTAAGCTATATCTATAAAGATATTTGCTGAACTGTTTGAATGCGGAGGAAAGACCAACCCTAAATGTTATCATGCCATGGCCTGGAGGACCAAGATGAACATAAGGTGAAGAAAGGAGCTAGCTCGAATTCCTCTGTCTCCTGGCCCACCAAGCTGTGCACTGCTAGGCTCCAGCATGCCTTCACTGCCTCGATGGGCTGCTTTCAACTATGAACAGTGCGATTTATTTATTTATTGGCTAAGAAGTGATGTTACTGGACATTTTGTCATTGTGACAAGAAAAGCAACTAACAGAGGCTCACAGTCGCCATGTAGCTCAGGCTGGCCTTGAATTTGTGGTATTTCTACCGTAGCACTCCACAGTGCTGAGATCAGAGACGTAGAATGCCACTACTGGTTCTAAGGGTTCCTTTGTTTGTTTTCTCCCTGCCCTCAGAGAGCCTCACTCTTTATCACAGATGAAGTCCATGTCTCCCCAAATTTTCCAATTTTCCCTGAGGACATCCACCTGTGCCTAGGTTTTCCTCTTTATACAAGGGGCGACTCTGCTGCTTCTGCGATTCTCTCTATACACTTCTTTTTTTTTGTGTATCTGTTGTGGGATTTGAATGTAAATCTCTTGTACCAGTAAGTTCCGTGTGTGTGTGTGTGTGTGTGTGTGTGTGTGTGTGTGTGTGTATCAATCTATCTATCTATCTATCTATCTATCTATCTATCTATCTATCTATCTATCTATGGCTTACGTGTTGTGCAAAATAGACACATGGCTGCAATTATGAATGCTGATGTTGCCACCAAATTACAAATAAGCTATAGAGTGGTAAAGATAGTAAAAATATGAAAGCGAATTTACAATACTACTTTTTTAACACAATAAAGAGCTATTGCAGTATGTAAATCTCATGGCGTTAAAACTTTCCTTTGTTGTGTAACTGCTCCTGAAGTTTAGGCTTTGCAAATTCCCTATGAAGCCAACCGCAGATTCTTCTGAGCTTCAAGACAGAGCCTGTGCTAGAAGGAGCCTTGTCTTGCTAAATGTAAAATCACCAAACTGTATCTGAGCAGGAACAAGAAAGCCTGGATTTAGTCCCAGCTCATCTCTAATAAGTTGAGGGACTTTTTTTTTTCTTCCCAAGATTGGATTAAATGTCCAAAACTTGTTCTGTTGTTACCCTCTATAACTCTGTGTCAGCATTCAGTTGTAACTTCAACAGACAAATATTAATAGCAGGGACGGTGCTGTTTTGTGATTTGTTTATAACCCTGATATTCAAATCTCATCATTTCTAAATAGAAACCAATGCTTTGATACCTGGCATCAACCACAGTGCTAGCCACCTGCCGTTAAAACCTGGGCTTTGCTTCCCCCCATCTCTCTCTCTAACTCTGGAGACCCTGGCAGCAGTCTAGAAGACAGCTCTTTGAGAATTTCTCTGGATACACGCAGCAAGCAAGAATCCACTCCATGCGCAGATTTTCTTGATAGCGAGACTCCTGAGTGGCTGAAGGCAGATTGAGGCTGAGCTAACTTGACAGCTTGAGAGCTTAAGAGCATCGATTAGAGCATGTGTGAATTTGACCTTTTCACTACCTCCATGTTTGTGGCTTTGGTTCTTGTAATGGGTTTTTTTGTTTGTTTGTTTGTGGTGTGTGTATAAGAAGAAAATTATTTCATACACTCTGCAGTGATTATTCTATCAAAACAAAAAGGGATATTGTTTTATCCTTTAAAAGGACCCATGAGTGTAATTTTAAAACTCTTACGAATTAGAGACAAAGCTGATGAGGAGCCAATGTGGGAATTACATTTTTTTGTGGGCATGGATATGCATCCTGTATCAGCCAGCTTTAGAAGACTCCTTTGTTCGTGAGGTATTTTGTAGCTGCTGGTTAGGCTGCCTATTGGCCTATATTCACATTGCACTTTTTAATTAGGTGACAAAGCAGTCCCACATATAGAGTAGTTGGTGCTAATGAAAATTTACATAAGGAACCAAAGGAATTAAACAGATGTGAAGATTACTATTTTGCACTTTTTCTTTCTATTTGTACTCATAAAAAAGTGTGAATTGAAATGTAAAGGAAAATAGCAGTTGATTTCCCTCTGCCAGTGAGGAATACTAAATAAGGAGTTATCCTCATAAATATAAAAAGGTTCCTGAATGTTTCATTTTCATAATCTGTAACAGCAACAAAAATATACTATTTGTCTATCTCAATTCTAAGTCATGAGGAAAAAAGAAGTGTAAAATGTTTACCAGCTATTTCTGGTTTTGATTACATGTTAAAATGAGGGTAATTTCTGTTTCATTGGATTGCTATCATTGATGTGAATAGGAAAGGAGATACAACCATTGGACAGTTAACTCCAAGTCTTACATACTTTGCCATCATTTCCCAAATTTCATTTTGATATTACTTTTGATTGGTAAAGTTTATCCAGTTTTCTGCCATAAGTCAACGGCTCTCAGCATCTCATCTCCCTCCTCCACACTTGCACAGTGGGGAATGCATACCCATTATCCGCATCCACACGTATGCGTATGCACCACAAAACAGATCAATCAATAGTTTTTCAAGGTAACTATCAATGTTGATGATATACGACCATTATCAGAATGTTTTTGTTGTTATTGTTGAAAGTTCAAACAATTTGATTAAATACAGCTCAGTGTTTAAGGAAACTTGTTTTTCCTAAAAGGCAGATTAGAGCTTAAAGCCACTGAGCTGATCGATTATTTATATGTCAAGAATGTAAGATACTTATTAATTTGGGTTGTTTATTGATATATTATATATTTTGACTATTACCTTGGTGTGTTTGTGGGACTCCTAACAGTTGAAGTAGACATGTCTCTGACTCTTTTTAGCTGCTCTTGGGACTCTTTTCCTCATCTTGGATTGCCTTCTCCAGCCTCAATATGAGGTCTTTTGCCTTGTCTTACTATATCTTATTTTGACCTGGTTGGCTGTCATCTCTTGAAGGCCTACTCTTTTCTGAAGAGGAAAAAGAGAGAAGAGTGGATCTTGGGGAGAGGGGAGGTGGTTGGGGAAGCTGGAGGGGCCAAGCTATGGGAAACTGTGATTGGGGTTTATGTATGAGGCAGGAATCTATTTTCAATTAAAAATCATATGTAGACACAAATATATGTAAATTCGCATGCAAAATACTTGATTTTCCTTATATTAGGCAGTGTACTGTAAGCCCGTGTGGTGGATGGCTGCTCATAATTTAACTAAAGAGGACATGATTTGAGGCAACGTTTTATTTTTAAACACAGTAAAAATCATCCGCTGGAAAAGAGAGAAAATGTAGTGTTTATTCTTCATTGTGTGCCCTAGAGCTAGCTTTGCTGTATAGATGGCAGATCCTCAACGTACATAGGAGGAGAGAATTCCTGGCCATGTAGACACAGCACTGTATGAGGTGAACCATGGAATAAAGGGAAGCATACAGTCTGGAAGACAGGAAATGGGGCCGAGTTTGAAGTTCCATTTTGCAGTAATTTCTCATTAATGATGATGCTACCTCTCCACCGACCGCTTAGCAGGGGAACATCTGATCTGCTCTCTGCAGCCGGCTCATTGATTGGGTGGGTCGATGCAATCTGATGCATAAAGAACTGAGTAAGTGGGAGGCAGTGCTTCCTAGATAGCTGCTAAGAAGAGATAGCTTACATTTGATGCCTTCAAGCTGTGTGGCCTCACATAGAGTCCGATTAGAAGTAAAAGCCATTCTAGAACTGACAAGTCTCTCTTTTATCGATAGGCAGAACATCACTGAAATTAGACTTAGAGAAAAGTAAAATGCACCAAAACAGACTCTAAATCCTTAGGAACACGGGCAAGGGGTTGCTCTTTCCTTTTTTATGTACTCTGTAGTGTATATATATATATATATATATATATATATATATATATACACACACACTAGGGTTTGGAGCCAGGATCTTGGGCTACAGAGACTCTTTTTCTGTTTCTATTTTTAGCCTTCTGAACTGTCCAGTGCTGTTCATTTTACAACTAGCTGGCTGCTATCATTCATATCATATGGAAGTCTGAAGCATTTGCTTGATCAAATCCCCAACAATACAGCACCATCCTTATTGCCAAGTTTCCAAATTAATTGAACAAGCAAGCAAAATAAAACTACAAATCTAAACACTTAAATTTTAAGAGATACAGAAACAATATTGAAGAAAATATGACAATTGGAAAGGGAAATAATTTGTATTAAATATACATTTTAATATGCCCTATCATATTTATCTGATTTATTTAATATGATAATTTTTAAGGATTTCGCAACACAAATTAGACAGTAACACATTGCTAATGTTTTTCCTCCCCATTGAGAGGAGGTGTAATGTTACCTGCCAAAGAGGGTCTTTCTGCTCTGGGAAGAGCTCAAAATACTTGTGGGCCAGTTGTACTGGAGGCAAAGTCTGCAGTTTCAAGTTGGTCCAGCTATGCACAAAGTTGGCCAAGTTCACAAAGGTGTATAGGCCTAGACGGTCGTTCCCATAGTTAGAGAGATGCGTCATGAAGATGCTGATCTGAAAGAGAAACGAAAACAGTCACTCCATATCGTAAGTTTGCCTTTCAAAAGTGGCAGTAGATGACTCAGGAGACATGTCACCTCACTTCAGAACTTCAGTAAGGCAGGTGCTGATATATTTTTTTTTTTGTGGGAATCCATGTAAATTTTTTCTAAATTACCACTTTAAATTCTTTAAAATTAAGACTGAATTAGAGATTTGGCATGAGTTCATTTCTAACCAGTAGTATAGTGCCAATTTCAGTAACAGTTTTGCCCTATTGTGAAGTCGATATCATGAAACCCCAAATCAAATAATTTCTGGAAGACTCAGGAACCAAAACTAAATTGCTTTTAAAGTGTAACAACTGTTCCACTTATTTTCTGATGTAGATGCGTTCTGATGGAATTAGGTTGGAGTAAACGAGTTTCTTTGAGTTATAATGAGGCTTTTATTTGTTTCGTCACTGAAATAAAGGTTAAGGAAATGATAAGTCTTTGAGGAGATGGGTAAGTAATTGAAACATTGCGCATTGTACACATAGAAATGCTGCAGGGTGGAACACTAATATATGCAGTTTTTATGTTTTGATGGATGCATTAAAAATAGATTTAGTTTAGAAACCAGTTTTGCACAGGTATTTTTTGCTTTAGCCAAAAGCTACTATACTCATGAATCTTTTACAACTTTTCAGACCTCATGTGAGCTCTAAAATATTCTGCCACTTCAGTACTGTTTTTTTTTTTTTTTTGTATGCCACAGACAAGGGGGAAGTGACACAGTTCTTGAGAGACCACACAAAAATTTTCATGGTGTTCAATATATAACGTAATATGCAGTCTATCAGGCATTGCAGTGGCAACTCAAACACTAAACAAAAGGAAAACTGCACAATACTGATCAAAGTTGCAGAGATTATTATGCATGTCTGAAAAAGAATCCATCAGTTTTTAACAACCATAACTTATACTTGTTTTTAGTTCTCACATTATTTTCGAACACATGCATTTTAAATTCTAAATAGGTTTTACTGTTAGGTGAGTGTATGAGTATTTCAGAGCAACCCACATATTCTAATTATGGGCTTTATTAACTTCATTTTAAAGTAACAGTTCCATAGTGCTGCAAAGAATAGTGTTAGAACATGTATCTGAAATTGAGTGGTAAGGAAATAAGGTAAAAGTGGTAAAGCTAAGAATCTGTGGCTAGTGTGTTATATAGACGTTCAGTTTCTCTTCCTTCAGAGAAGTTATCACTTGGTGTGATTGTTATTATTATTTGGGAATAAACAATATAATTAGAAACACAGCAACTATTCCAAAAACATTCTCATTGCAGCATCAGTAGGGATAGCAGTCCTCATAATACAAGCCCATTCTTCCCAAGATTGAATGTTTTCACTGAACAACTGTCAATGTCCAGAATGGAAGTCTTTTATCTTAAAAACCTAAGAGCATTGTCTTGCAATAGGAATATAATAAGTTATATTCTGTCAAGAAATTATAATTTCAAGAATGTGTTTCATAATTTGAAGGACTTTCCACTTTGTAAAAGATGTTATCTCTCTGTCTGTCATACTAGGACACTGAAAAGGTCCCCAAAGACAGTTAATTAAAATTACCTTCTAGACCTCACCATTACACAAAATAAAAAAAAAATGAGAGGATGAGAATTTGGCCTCTTGATCTTAGTGCCTCCAAATTATAAAATATCGCAAATTATACAGAATTCACCTGTGTTAGGTATGGATCTAAACCTCTCACATATATGAAATCATTAAATCCTTGTCATGCTCTTACAAGGTAGGAAGTCTTGTAAACTTCACAGAAGAAGAACTAGAACACAAGAGTAGTTGAGTAATTTGTCTAAGTCTCTATTGAGGAAAGTGAAGAATAGGAATTGAATTCCCAAACGCAGCATTTCTTTCTTTCTTTCTTTCTTTCTTTCTTTCTTTCTTTCTTTCTTTCTTTCTTTCTTTCTCTTTCTTTCTCCCTTCCTTCCTTCCTTCCTTCCTTCCTTCCTTCCTTCCTTTCTTTCTTTCTTTCTTTCTTTTTTTGGTTTTTCGAGACAGGGTTTCTCTTGTGGCTTTGGAGCCTGTCCTGGCACTAGCTCTGTAGACCAGGCTGGTCTCGAACTCACAGAGATCCGCCTTATGCATTGAGTTTAACACCATCATTTAAAAAGAAAGGAAGGAAGGAAAGAAAGAAAAAAGGGAGAAAGAGAAGAAAGAAAGAAGAAAGAGAAGAAAGGAAAAAGAAAAATTCCATAGACGATGTTGGGGAAAAACCCATGTATTATTTTGAGAACTCACATGTTTCTCTTTCTTCTTGAAATAGAAAGACAAAAGATAACTTACTTAAGACTTATTTTCAGTACTAGAGATTGAACCTAGGGCCTTAGTTCTGCTACTGATCCATATCCCTAATCTCTTTTTATTTTTATTTTTCATGTTTGTTTTGACACTGGGTCCTAATAACTTTCCTAGATTTGCCTTGGAACACACTTTTCTAAGTTGGCTTTTTTTAAAAATTAATTTATTTTATATGTGTGGTGTTTTGCCTGCATGTATGTCTATGTGCTGCACCCATGTCTGGTGCCCGTAGATGACAGAAGAGGGTATTGGATTCCATGGAACTGAAGTTACAGATGGTTTTGATACATCATGTGGATGCTGGGGTCCTCTGCAAGAGCAATAGGTTCTCTTAACTGTGGAATCTCTCCTAAGCTGCCTTTGAATCTGCATTTCTCCTCTCTCAGCCTACTGAGTCCCTGTGATCATAGCCCCACTTATTTATAGAATCTTAAATGCAAGGCATTTAAGACAATGAATCAAGTATTACATAATAAGAACATATGAAGATAATAGTATTGCTTTCATATTCTTTTCCATTTCTTCTTCTCTGGGGTTATAATCAAAGATTTATGCTCTAAAAATCCAAAGAAGGGATATTTACAAGAATGTAATTTGCATAGTGACTTTATATAATTTACGTGAAAATTTAAAGTAAATTACTAAAATATCAGTTGGCACACTTTTTTTAAACCTAAATTTATTTAATATTTGAAAAAGATTGGGTGCTCATTTCACTGATTTGTTCATTAACCAATCTCTCAATTTTACACACTTATCTCAAGTAGGAAGAGAATTTACTGCAGGCCCCTACTGTGGGAGTTTCCATCTGTAGTCAGACTTCTTGTAAGTGAGATTATTGTCAATCACAACTTCCATTAAGAAATAAGAAAGTGAAGGTGTTGTCCCTCAGAAAAATTATGTTTTCCCATGACTAAAATCAGTATGAAAATGCGGCACAGGCCGAACACCCCAAATAAAAACTTAAAACCCTAGAAATCTGCAACCTGCCTCTTTCGCTGTTACTTCAAGATGGAATTTTAAGCACCTATCAGTAGTCTGAGAAAAATACCAATAAAAATCAACTTTGGAACTATGGTAAGGTTTATTTTTATATCACAGGTAAATGTATATTATCATTTCATTTGGGTATTATGACGGTAACATCAGAAGACATTTACAACACACCAGTTCTAAACAGTTTATCGAGGATTTCCGTGGGCCAAGCTTTGATTCCCAGAGGAAGCACAAGACTCAGTCCCGGGGTACTGAAAAACCTAGCGTTTATAAGTAGAGGTGTTCGGTATGCTGTCCTAAGCCAAGGCTGGCCGCTGCACTAAAACATCTCATCGTTGTGTGTATGAGCAAGCAGTCAGCTGCCATGGCTGCGGTGACTGTCATAAGGGGCACTGTGCGCACATGCTTTACTGGTTAAGAGCAAATTAGTGCTGGTGTATGGTCAATTGACTGCACTTTACGAAAAACAGTTTTGCAGGCACAGCTTAGCTGTGCGTATCTGGCCTGCTAAAAGCGACTTTTGTGCAGACGGAGCACTTTAGCCGTAGCATTTCTGGACAAATAGCTTATTTAAGAGGGATAAAATGTTCAGGAAGTGTGGGGAGAAAACAAATTAAGGCTGTGGCTAGAGGCCTAGAGAAGGTAAGTCAAGGGCTATGCAAGACGAGATAACAACAAATAATGAATTTTCTGACTTACTGTATGTTGCTACTGTTCGTTACGTGACAGTGATGGCTCCTCAGCCCCTTTTATTACTTACTCATTTTGGCCACTATTTCCTTTGGACATACTAAGAATACCTTGGCTTAGTATTACCCACGGGATTCCTGAGACTGTGTATGACTGAGTCGTCACACGCGCACTCTGGACCCTGAAATATTGTAGCATAGAGCTCTGAACTGTCTTAGAAAAATTCTTGCCGGGCGATGGTGGCGCACGCCTTTAATCCCAGCACTCGGGAGGCAGAGGCAGGTGGATCTCTGTGAGTTCGAGACCAGCCTGGTCTACAGAGCTAGTGCCAGGACAGGCTCCAAAGCCACAGAGAAACCCTGTCTAGAAAAACCAAAAAAAAAAAAAAAAAAAAGAAAGAAAAATTCTTCATGTGACAGAGGATACATACACAACGGATTATTTTGAGAGTCAGGTTGCAGTGCTGACCTCCTTGGACCTCTTGGAGCCAGGCTTCCAGAGGTCAGGAAGTCAAGGTGGTTGTGTTTCTCTGATTAAGCAGGCCTCTGGCCCGCCTTTATCTTGCCTTAACACTCAAGTCTCGCAGCTCAATTATAACAAAACAAAAAAACCAAGTTGAAATACTTCCTTGTCTCCATTGTAGTGATATAAAAGCAAGTTCATAGCCTCTGTTGTAGGCTGACAATTTATTAGGAACTGAAAGCTTTCTTCTGGGCTGATGGCCAGATATACAGTATGTATCAGAAACTATTATCCGCAGAAGAAATTTATTAGCAATTCCTCTTCTAGTTCCAGGTCTGTGCATGCTTGTAATCCCACTTCTAAAAACTGAGGCAAGAATGCAAGCTCCAAACCATACTGGTCTGCATAATGAGTCTCTACCTAAAAACAAACGAAAAAGGTCTTCAAGATTTTAATGTGCCATACGTATATCCTCATAATAGGAAATGGAGTGACTATG